TCTGAACCTCTCTGGTAAAATTAAACTAAATAAATAAATACATAAATAAATAAAGTTAAATAAAATCATTCTTAAAAACTAATAATGTGATGGCAATACATGGCAGTAAGTGATGAGAGGAAGAACAGAACTTTCTTCAGACATCTCTCACTGCTTGGGAAAGCACTCACCGAGGCAGCTGGCTTGGCCGGAGCTGACTGTATTGAGCACATGGAGGTCCGAGGCACCACCTCTGCCACAGGGGTTGGGGCAGCAGCCTTAGATGCCTAAGGAGAGAGGCAGGTACTCTGAATACCTTTAGGAATATGCGGGAATAAGATGCAACAATGATGGACCAAGAAGACACTCTGCTGCATTAAACGCGGGAGCATGAGTCTCTCAAATGTGTAAGGAATGGTCAGTCTAGCAAGGCACATTAAAACACGCCAGTTACCATTATCTTCACTTGGTTTACAGCCCAGCTTAGTTAGGTTATTTAACCAGGTCTCTCTGAGGCCTGGTTCCATAGCTGTAAGATGAGAACAGTGGCAGCACCTTCATCTCAGGGGTTGTTACGGGGCTTACATGAGATAAGCATCGCAAAGTGCTATGCACAGTACATGGGAACACCATCAGCTCAATAAATTTGAACAAGTATTGCTATTATTTGTATCATTTACTTGTTATATAATAATAAAATATCCACCTATTATGCAAAGTAATATATAAAATGATGAATGGTTATAAATCTTGGAAGTTATAAATACCTAGGTACAAATGTAGGGTAGTAATACCGTGCCAGAAGATCTCAATGATTGGTCCCTGGACTAATAGCTTCAGGGCGACCAAAGAACTTAAAAGAAATGCAGATTCTTGGGACCTACCCCAAGGCACTAAATCAGAAATACTAGGAGAGGACTCTATCAGTCTGTGTTTTAGCAAACCTTCTGGGTAATCCTGATGCATGTTAAAGTTTGAGAAACACTTTTATTTTATCACAAGAGTAAATTTCAAGTAAATTGTTTTTAATCCACACATTTATGGAAGTCATTCCTGTATGTAAGGCGCTTAGCAGATGATGATTAATAGGGTAGGTATCTTCCTCCAAAGAACTTATAACCTTAATTAACTGTTAGAGTTGAAGAAGGACCGATACAGCTAAAAAATTGTAACAAATGTTTTAACAGGGATATATATTTTTTTTAAAAAAAGAACGAATGAACTACAGACCCCCTGCCATGTTGTTTTCTGCTCAATAAGGAATGGAAGGGTGGGGCCAGCAGGTAGCATGGCAGCTAAGGTGCTGGACTCCCACATGGCCACCTGTGGTTTAAGTCCCAGACCTGGCAGCTTGAAAGTCTACATCTGGTGCTTGTGTGTGCATGTATGCTCAAAATCTCTACAGGAGAATACTGCAGCATGAATATCCCCCTGGAAGGGTGATTTCTCACTCTCCCCACCCCCCCTCCTATGAGCACATGCTTCCTATGACAAAAACCTAAACAAACACAAAAGGACTGGAAGGATGGTGTGGTTTAGGGAGGGGATGACAGGAGACAAGGCTGTATTTTAGCAGGGTCTTAAAAGGGGACCAGCAGATGGCGTAATGGTTACATCACTGGACTCCCACATGGCTGACTATGGTTTGAGTTCTGGACCTGGAGGCTTGAAACTTAGGCTGGGCACATTTGCGTCCAAGATCCTGAGAGAAGAACAGAGGAGAAGAGAGTGTGGAGTGGCCATCACCCCTGGGTGTGTGTGTATGTGTGTGTGTGTGTGTGTGTGTGTGTGAGTGTGTGTGTGATTTCTTGCTTTCTGTGAGTGTGGGGATGGTGGTGTGATTTCTTGCTTTCTCTCTGTCTCTTGTTAGCATATGCACTCTATTGCAAAAAATCTCACTCTCTAAAAAAAAATTAAAAACAAACAACAAAAAAAGGATGAGTAAGATTAGTTCATCTAGAGTTAGGAGGAAAGCTTAGCCCAGACAGAAGGAACCAAAAGACAGTCTAGTGATGCAGGGACTAGACTGCATGGTGGAAAAGGAACAGGGGACCAGAAAACAGTAGTAGAAACATTTTTTTTGCAGGAAATGGAAAGCTCCTAAGGGTTGGAGAGTGGAATGGTATGACTACAAGCATGCAGAGAGATAAAATACTGGCGGACATAAAGGATGGGTATGAAGGAGCCTGAAGAAAGGCCACTGTCGTTCTGAGGTGAGGGCAATGACAGCTTTAAGTAGGTCAGCTGCAAGAGCAGGAGGAGGAAGGAAGCCTGGGCTGAGAGCTTTCCTGGAGGAGTAATTACAGACCTCACATAGCATTACTGTCAGGTCGGCCTGGGGAAAGAAAACACATCCAGAAAAAGAGAAGACTAAACTCATAACATATGGATGGCACAATGGGCTTTTTCAATCACCACTTCATGTTAGAATAGTTTGGGTCTCACAATTTTAAAAAAGTTTGCTATAGGGTGCATGTACTCACTCAAGAGAGACACAGAGAAAGAAAGAAGACAGCAATCCCAGGGAGGGATAGCCACACTGCAATCCCTTCTTCTCCATTTTCTCTTGGGATTTTGGGCACACATGTGCATGTGCCCGGCATCTCTTATGCTGCCAGGTCCGGGACTCAACCACACAGTCAGCCATGAGGGATCCAGCCGCCCCAACCACCTCACCATAGATGGCCCTGGTCTCACATTTTTTAAAGATTGCATAGAAACATGAACTAGCTCAAAACTAGAGATTTATATTTGTAGAAACATACTTCTGATTTTTTAGTTGGTTTAGACTGTTTTTCTTTACGTTTACTCTGGTCAAAATCTTCTGAAAGTTCATCAATGAGTTCTGACTCACTCAGCAGCTGTAATACAAGAAACATTACGTATTATGAAGTGACTATTTTTACTCCACATAAAGGTTTTCAAAGAGCAAACATTTTTTTTTCTTGAGAAACACAGATTAGGCCATATTTTAGGATCTAAACCCCGACTAATATATGTAGAGCATATTTCTCATTTATCAATGTAAGATAAATATGCCATGCCACAAATAAGGAATCTGAGATGCCTCAGCCCCAGAGAAGTGTTAATGGTTTACTTAGTCAAGTTCTCCTGACACTTCAATTTCAGAAGAATTTTGTTCAAATAAAATTTCCTGTTCTCTCCTGAGGAAGACCTGGATAGTTTTCAATATAATTACTGCCTTTCTACTTCCTAATGAGTAAGTCAGAGAAAACAGAAGTCTTACACTCCCCTTTCCTGAGACTAGTGGGTTTGCAGCAGGGAAGTCTGCTTTTGTTAGTATTATTTATAACATGGAGATTTATACTGATAACAGTAACCTGTGACAGACGGGCATACGATTCAGAAGCTGGGCCCCAGCACTGAACAGTGCTGGGCCCCCGATCTGAGTCCTGGCCTTAGTATTTTCTAGCTAGGTGAAACTGAACTAATCCCATGAACCGTCTCCGTCTCACTTTCCCCAGTGTAAAATGGGAATAATAATAATAATGCCTTCTTCACTCAGTGAGGACTCAAAAAGACAACAGAGAAAAAGCGTTTATTGCCATGTCAGGCATGTAGTAAGTGATTAATAAATGGTGCCGATTTGCATTATTTCAGCAGGTCATGATAATGGGTCCCAGCACTTAAGGAAAGGCAATAGATAACCATCGGACTATGTGATGCTGTGATTAGGATCCATCTCTAAGTGCTAACTGAATCTACTTTAAGGGTCTTTTTGTCATCAACTCCTAAGATCAATGAATATTTTCTTGAAGCTTACAGTCCAGTAGTAACACATAGTCTTGTTATACTGTCTTATTTCATCAGAAAAGCAATCGTCATGAAAAGGAGCTTGAGTGTCAGCGGTTACCGACAGCAGTCCCCTCTCCTCGGTACTAGGCTGGCATGCAAGCCTCCACAGGGAAGTGTGGTCTGTCAAAACCACCTTAACTACATGTTACATTTCTATGATTTTTTAAGTACCAGAAAAATGTATCTCCTAACCTTGGGTTTTTCTTCAGGTTCTGGCAGTAATGGTTTTCCATCTTTATCCTGTAAATGAAATTGGAAATTCAGTGGAAATGAAACAGAAAATATTGCTTTCATATCACATTAAGTTTACTTTCAGGGATTACAGATACAAGAACTTATTTTTTCTCATACTTGAAATTGTGGTTTAGATTTACTTTTCATGAAGTATCAGAATAAAGGAGTTGAGTTGTAAAGATCAAGAGACCAACTGTTACCAAATATGTACATTTACTGTCCTTTAAAAGTTACTATAATTTTTTTCTCTGTTGGATAAGGCAATAGAATAAAACACACACACACACACACACACACAAAGAGTTCCTTGGCAAGAAAGATACAGCTACATTAATGAAACATTTAAATTTCAATTCACCAACCTGGAGTGACTAGCTATCACTCAGAATTTTGTTTCATTTTTGGGATATGAGGTTTCACCATTTATACTTCTAAAAATAAGAAACTTTTCATATGTATATGGCAACTTCAAAACTTTTGGGGAAAAATAAAGTATGAGTTCATTTTGGTGCAAAAATTGTTTGAAATCTATACAGCATTTTTTACAAAGATGCACACTGCCCATACACTTTTTGAAGATCCTCTCATGTAGGCATATATAAAAAATGCATGTTTTTTTCCCATCATATGTCTCTATGTGTGATTTCCAAGGGAAATTACAAATATAATTATAGGCATTAGTCCACAAAAAATCAGAAACAACACAACGAAACCACCTTAGCTGAGAATACTGGTAAATAGTTACACATTTATATTTGCCACTTAGAAGAGCTATGGTGCTAATACTCATACAGTAGTTGGAGGAAAAATTGTTCCCAAATGTCCCATCTGTTTAAAGCTAAGGATCTATACCAAGCATTGCTAAGAGCTAAACACTAGGATTGGTGGGGGTTTCAAAGACCACATGGCCACCTCTGAGGAGAAAGAACAACCATCCCTCAAGGTGCCGCCTTCAGAGAGCAGAGAAGAAAGGGCCAAGGGTCTTCAGAGTTAATACGTGAACTGGGACACACAAATCCCTAGTGTCAAGGGTCCAGACACAATGCGAGGTGACCTGAAGGTAAGATGAGCCTGCTGCGGTATTCACGTGGTTAAAATTTACCGTGGCTGGTTTCAGTCTGTATTCAGACGGCACTGTCTCATCATCCTCACCGCACTTCTCTCGTTTTTCCTCTTTCGCTTTTGCCTGATGAAAGTTAAAAAAAAAAAATAAAAGGCAGTTGGATAATTCATTTAAACTGAGATTATATCGCAGGCTTTGTGTATTTCATGAGTACTATGCAGAAGATCGAGTCAGATAAAAGAGTCTGGAAGCACAAGGGCCTGGTGAGCAGCTGGACAAAGGCGGCAGGAGTGGCTGAGGGAGGGACAGCAGGGCCAGGAGTCCCGTCAGGGCTCCCTCTGCTCTCAGGCTCCGTGACCTTGAGAAGCCATGCAGTCTTTCCCTGTCTGGTTTCTTCAATTGTAAACTGTGGCCTCCACTAATCCATACCTAGCTCACTGACTTGTGAGGATCTCCAGAGAAAAGTAAAAGATCCTTTGAAGATAGTGAGCAGAGGGCAGCAGTAGCTGCAAATAAACACACACGTTTGTGTGTGTGTGTGTGTGTGTGTGTGTGTATTTAGGTTTTTACCATAGGTTGCATATGCTTGCTGGAGAGAAACAGTGAGGGAAAGTGAGAAATCACCTCCACCCCCACCCCCACCCCCAGGGGAATGGCCATGCCACCATCCCTTCTCCTTCATTCTCCTCTTGACTCAGACTGCAGTCCACCATGTGGGAATCCAGTGCCTTAACCATCATGCCACCTGCTGGCCCCTAACTGCAAATACTTGAATAGCTTTATCTGCATTACTTAAGCAGGCAGCTATCCAAGGTGGGGGAGGGAACACACCGAATTCTGTTAAGCTCAGTTCAGAGACGCTTCCCATCCCATCCCAAATCTTGGCTAATCCATGGGTTACCGGTTTTACCTCTTTTTGACAAGGGCCCCTTTGAATAGCTCCTGGACTTTGCTGTATCACTGAGCCATGAACGACTAACTATATTGGAAATAAAAGTACACAGCTAGGGTAGACGTTGACTTCCGGAGTACAACATGTACAATTTAAGCTCCTGGGGAGCAGTATGAAGTTTCATGATATGCAATAATTTGTAGCTTTATCAAGGCATAGATTTAATTCACACACACACCAAGGGAGGAAGATCACTTAGCAAATTTCAACTCAACCCACTGCTCTGTCTAAATCCCAGCATGATGGTACTGCATGTTTCCATCCAGTGGTTAATGGGTTAATTTAAAAATACTTACTGAGAACTTTTAATGAGTCAGGCACTGCTTTAGGCTTTGGAATCTACATTTTATTGTTCTACAGACATACTCTCATTAAGGTATGAATTTTTTTTAAATTGAGAGATTTTTTTTTTTCCCTATAGGGCATGCGTGCTTGCTGGAGAGACAGAGAGAGATACAGAGAGACAGAAAACAAGAAATCACCCCCCCAGAGGGGATGGCCATGCTGCAATCTTTTCTCCTCCATTCTCCTCTCAGGATTTGGGGCATGCATGTACACATATCTGGTATGAGTTTCAAGCCATTGAGTCTGGGACTCAAACTGTGGTCAACTAAGTGGGAGTCCAGAGACATAATCATTATACCATCTGCTGGTCTCAATACTTTTTAAAAAATGTCATTATATTCTACAGTAGCATATGGAGGAAATCCTATCATCTAGTGGTATTCCCAAATTTGTTTCATATCATGATATATTATAAGCAGGCATGTCTGGAGGACCAGATAACTTTCCACAGAGCGCCCCCTAGTGTGAAATCTGCTGAAGAGGCAGAGGACGCCTACAGGACAGCAACCTTTATGAGCCTTATCACAACATTGGGTTATCCAGTTTGTAAAGAAGTCACCACCAGGCACTAAGAATTACAGCCTAATAATTTAAAGGATCGAAAGATACTCTTAGGCAATAGTTATATTTTGTACATGATTTAAAAAGGAAAGCCAGTCTGTTGTAAGAGCAGAAAAGAAGGGTTCTTTTTGCTGGAATTTTAGTTTACTGCTGCTCTGAGGTTTACTAGGAGTAACATTACACTCATATACATTCTCAAACTAACTACCATACTGCGTTACAAGTTAATTTTACGACACTTTTCACACCTACTTATTTGATTTTAGTCACTCTAAGTCTCTTTTTGTCCTAGGATCTATAGCATGTTCATGCCTTCTCCACCCCACATTGTGCTGTCATCAGAGTTTCCTTTTTGCCCAATACATTACTTGGTCCTGGAGGCCGGGCACCATCTCTCCCACTCCCTTGTGTTCACCATCACCAAGCTGATGGTGCCACATTGCAGCCGGGGAGTCCTCCAGGAAAGTTGAAGAGAGAAACTGGCCCATCTTGGACCGAGATGGTCCCAGACTTGGGGGGAGTTGCCAGGAGTCAGGGAGACTTCCCTTCCCTGACAACTCAGAACAGGAAGTGACAGCGGAAGCATTGTGACAGCAATGCCTGGAAGCCTTTCTTCTCTGAGCTAAGGGGGGCAGGGAGTGAGTCATTCTGGGTCCCTGGGCTGTTTCCATTTCTCACTTTGTTAGGAAAGGACAACTTTCTCCTTTCTCTCCTGTTTTCCCTCAGGAGACAGTAGAGAAATTCTACAAAAATTATAATAGACTACGAAAACTCTCCTACACCAGATACAAGCTGGCTCTGGCTCACAGGCTGGTTAAGGTCTCGGTGTGAAAGGGGATAAACACTCACCAAAATCATACTCTAAATGTGTAGGAGCTTCAGTTACTGAGTAAATGTTCTACTTTGAGACAAACTGTCAACATCTTTTCCCACAGCTGTACAAGAAAGATCTTCCAACTCTTTGCATGGCCACCTCCCACACAAAGAAAAGCCCCCAGAACACAAATTTCGGATTTCCACGACAGCAGATAGACCTCACTATTTCTCCCCAGGCCACTGCCTCCTTGTTATCTTGTTTAGTCAGGTCTCATTTAAGCTTTGGCAAAGGAGACTAGCGCTCATTTTCAATATTAACATTTTGGATGTTTACAAGACAAACATGCAACTCTCCCTCTTGGTTGTGAACTGCCCAATACCAAATATCTAAATTAAGTAGACTCTGAAAGCAAGAAAAAGGAAAGAATAGTTCATTTTTCATCTCCAGCAGAAGAAAAGTTGTGCAACAATTCTCAACATGCAAAATGCATTCATTTTTGTAACCCACAGACTAACCCACACCCCAAGGTCAGTACCTCATCAACTTCCTTAATAGAGCCGAGGTCGACCTCAGGTTCTGGCTTTCGGGTCCCCAGTGAAGCTGACAGCGCCTCAAGTGCTTCATCGCTCATTGTATCCTGTTAAAAAAGAAAAGTTCTAACATGAAAAAAAAGAGACTATCTCCTAAGCCTGAGCAATCCATTTACTTCTTTGTGAAATACACGTTTTTAAATATAAAAGATGACTTATGGATTGGAGAGTACCTTAGGAAGGCAATTGATTTAAAACATAGCCATAGAAATAAAGGAAAAAGAACTCACCAGTGAGTGAAAATGGAAGCTAAGACACTTTCCTACAATAACAGCCTTCTGTGGGGGCACACCTCAGCCCGTATTTAGCAAGCTAGAAGTATAACTATATGAGGGTAATGTTATTATTATAAAATGTTCTTACCAAAATAAAAACTGCAAGGAGTAAACTTCTACTATCCTGTCTTTCTTTTTCCTGAACATTTGTCTCTAAAAATTGTTTCCATCCTCTAGCAAAACAGCTCAGACCAGGAAGTACAGGATCCTGACCTGCCACAGCCTTCTGCGAGGGCACAACGGCTGATGACTGTAGGAACTCCCACACGCGGGTGTGGTGCTCGCCACCTCTCCCCAGTCGGCCAGATAAAAATAAACTGTCCATTCCAGGAGGGGAGAGGCAGCTCTGGTGGAAACTGCGTCTTTGCAGTAGCTTGACTGTAGGTGGGACATGTTTTCTCACCAAGCTCAGAGCTGCAGGACTGCCCTTCAGAACCGGTGAGAATGAAGTCCTAGCTGATTGCGGTTAGGAGATGGACAGAAGCCGATGCAGTAATATCCCTCTACTGAGCCATGGGGCTCACACTCCTTTAGGAAAGCAAGCTTGCAGAGTTTATGGTTTCAAATGTTCCATGTCTCTGGTTCTGCCCTTGTATGTATGGTAATGGTAAGATGGTCTTAAATCCTAACCAAGAAGACAGGGCTGAAACCATTCATGAGCATTTAGAGAAACACACAGGCTTTCCCGGAGATGATCAATAGAACCCTCAGGGGCTTCACTATTCCACACAGACCTGAGGGAGAGAGAGCATGGCTCCTGGTCATGGGTAACGCACTATTGCAATTATCTTGAATAAACTAGCTTGGGTTCAAGAAAGCAACTGAAGGCAGGTGGACCATGGTCCTCTCCACAGAAGTAATCATTTATACCTCCTCCACCTTTCTTTTCTTCTCCTGGGGTGGAGCAGCACTTCTGATAACCCCAGCGGACTGAGCTTTTAAAACTTCTCCTGTAGATTTCTGAAAAATAAAACACCAAAGAGTAGATTTATAAATGAGGGAAATTAAACTGTAATAGCCAGAACTAAAAAGTTGCTGCTCTTTTTTTTTTGGGAGAGGTTTTTTTTTGTTTGTTTGGTTTTTTTTTTTTTTTTTTTGCTGTAGGGCGCGTATGCTTGCCAGACAGACAGAGAGAGACAGAGAGACAGAAAGCGAGAAATCACCCCTCAGGCAGGATGGCCATGCTGCAATCCCTTCTCCTCCATTCTCCTCTCGGGATCTTGGGCACGCACGCACATGCGCCCGGCATGAGTTTAAGCCGCTGGGTCCAGGACTCGAACCGCGGTCTACTACGTGGGAGTCCAGCGACATAGCCATTATGCTAACTGCTGGTCTCAAAAGTTGCCGCTCTTTTAAAGAAAACTTCAAACAAGCTCTCCTTAATGACACTGAAAACCGACAATACCTCCTTCTCAGTTTTCTTTCCACCAGGGGCGGGAGAACTGCAGGTGAAGTCAGACGACAAGGCGTCGATAGCATCATCGGGCCCCATGGGTTTCTGTGGAAACAGGCATGATGATGGGGACACACGGGAATCATTCAAGGGAAAGAACAGATTGTACATCCCGCAGCAGAAGGATGTACTTTGGCAAATCCTTTGCTACCCAGTGTGAGGTTATGAGATAACCCAGACCAAAGTCTGTGTTTGAAGGGAGTAGGTACACGATAAGATTTTTTTTTTTCTCTTCCCCTCTTCTAAAGGAACTGCCTGTGAAGATATTCTCTTCCTATTGTTCTTAACACTTACTTCATCCCGACACTTCATTGGCCTCCTTCTCCTTGCCCTCAGAAAGCTACCCATTAGACCCAGGAGCTCTGGGACAACCCCTGAGCCCACTCCCTTTCTCTGAGCAGACAGACACGCCGTCTGACGTGGAGACCAGTTCAGTCATCATCCCCAGATATAGACTTTGTAGCCCTATTTCCACAACCAAAGTTACAAAAGAGGTTAATTAGATCTTAGATGGCATTTATGTCAACTCACCGAAGAGTCTGGAGGAGGTCCTGTGATGCCTTCCGTTTTCTGAAACAAATATCAATTAGATAATATTGAGAAGGCAAATTAATTGTTATGATTGACAAAACATATTGCTCGGTATGAGTTGTGACTTGAACTGGGACCTCTCTCCCAAATTTGCATGTTGAAGTTCTAATCTTTGGTACCTCAGAATGAGACCTTATTTGGGGAGAGAGTCTGGTAGAGTCTGGTAGAGGTATTCAAGGAATGGTGAGGTCATTAAAGTGAAGCCTCATTCAGTAGGACTGGTGTTCTCGTGAAAAGGGGACACTAGATGAGAGATACGCAGAGAGTAATGATGCTGTGAAGAGGCAGAGGGATAAGGTGGTTACCTACATGCCAAATAGAGAGGTCTATTTCCCTCATAGCCTTCGGAAAGAACCGTCCCTTCAGATGCCTCTGGATTCTGGACTTGCCACAAGATAATGAGTGACTCTTGTTTAAGCCATCCAGTCTGTGGTACTTTATGTCACAGTAATGACAATTTCATACGCCCCATTACATTTTCTAAATCTTAAATACTGTGAATACATTACTACAAAATTATATCCCAAAGAGAAAACAGTGAAGGAAAACTGAATGATTAACTTACAGCCAGAAGTTCCCTATATTTTGGAGGAATCGTGGATTCTTTTTTACCCAGTTCCTCTATGTAGATGGAAGTAATTGGGTCCTGGAACAAAATCACACACATAGGCATATCTTGTAATTAATATCTGAGACTGTTACATGCACGTTCTGAAACCAAAGAACTATGCCATTACTAATTTACAAACCTAGTTAGATGAACGATAAATCATCACAAAGCCAAACCTTCACACAACTCTTAAGCCTAATGTTTACACAAATACCCATATTTGATGGGCTTAATTCATATGTAATGCTAGCCACTATTCAAACTACTACAATAAAATTTATTTCTATATTACACATACATTTTATTTTCAAATGCTTTGCTATCAAATGTTTCTAATACATACAAAAATACAGTTAATAACATAGTAAATTTCTATATAACCCTAAACCCAATTCTATCAGATCTATAGTTATTTCCTCTGTAATTACTAAGAAGAAAACATCACAGACAGTGTGGTTGTCTCCTGTTTAGCTTCACTAATCTAATTCTCCTTCCTTTGTACCCAAGGATAGCCACTGAATGTTTTCATATTCACCCTTTTCAAGTTGAGTATATTTTAAAACAATGATTACATATGTAGATAACCATAAATGAAGTACAGCGGTACACTGAATATTTTCAGATGTTACATGACAGTATCATGGTATTAAATTATCCATATCATTCTGCATTATTTTAAAAATGTTTTTGCTGGGACCAGCAGTTAGCGTAATGGCTATGTTGCTAGATTCCCATGTAGTCGACCGCGGTTCAAACTCTGGACCCGGTGGCTTAAACTCACGCTGGGCACATGTACATGTGTGCCCAAGATCCCAAGAGGAGAATGGAGAAGAAGGGATTGCTGTGTGGCCATCCCCCCTGGGGGGTGATTTCTCGCTTTCTGTCTGTCTCTCTCTGTCTGTCTGGTGAGCACACGTGCCCTGTAGCAAAAACCTCTCAAAAAAAATGTTTTTGCAAACAAATAGTCATGTTGCTGCATGAATAATCCATTTTAGCCACTATAAAGCATGGCAATGAAGGTATCCTCCTGTTCTCAATCACATAAATTGTTTCAAATGCTTCTCCAGTTTTATAAAATTGACACATTATAATTTTACATTTTTATGAGCTAAAATGTGATTTTTGATGCATAAATACAATGTGTACTGATCAAATCAGAATAATCAGCATATATGTCACCTAAAATATTTATTGGCACTTTGTGTTGGGAACATTTAATATCATTCAGCTATTAACTCAAACCACAGACCGTGTGGAAGTCCAGGGACATAACTGCTACGCCATCGGCTGGCCCCATCTCTCTACTTCTATGAGGCATTATTTTTATATTTTATAACCTCCACATGAGTGACAACATGCAGTATTTTGCTTTTTGTGCCTGGTATACTTCACGTAACATAATGTCCTCCAGACGCACCCATTTAACCTTGAATTACAGAAGTTCTTCTTCATCATTTTTTCCCTTAGTTTTTAAAATTTATTCCCTCCATGAGTGAGAGTGAAAAAGAGACAGAGACAGCACCCCACGGGGTCTTCATTGCTACCATCCACCCCCAGTTTCAGCCAGCCCTGGATCATGGACACTCACATGCTCTGTGTGCTGAGGGAGGTGTCTGGATGTGAGCCTGGAAGCTCCCATGTAGGTCGGCCTCTCAGAGCACCATATTAACTGCTGCACAACCTACTTCAAACCCTTTATTGTACCACGTGTGTATTGCCAGAGGGTGCATGTGCTCATGGGAGAGAGAGAAAGCACACCCCCAGTGGAGCATGGTGATGCTACAGTACTTTTTCCTCCACCTCTCCATCCCATCAGGTTTTGGGGTGTGCATACACATGTGCCTGGAATGCTTTTCTGGGGCTGGATTTAAACTGTGGTCATGTGGGATCTGGCTCCCTCTACTTTCCTATGGGGCTGGTCTGAGTTAGCTATTGTTAATGGCTGGGTAACATTCCACTGCATGTGTGCATGTGTGTGTGTATTTATAAATGTACATTTTATTTATGCATTCATCTGCTGATGAATACTTTGGTTCTGTATCTTGGCTGTTGCGGATAGTGCTGCTGGGGTGCACATATCTTTGTTACATATCTACTTTCTTTCTTTTTTCTTTGATCTATACCTAATAGGGGTTGCTGAGAATACTGTAGTTCCATTTTTTTAAAAAAGAATTACTTACTTAATTTTATTTATTATTATTAGTTTTTGACTTGTTACAGAGTATGAGAGAGAGAGAGAGAAAGAAGGTAAGAAAGCAAGCCACCAGGCCTGGGACTTGAACCATGATCGACCATGTGAGAGTCTAGCACCTCAACTGCCATGCCACCTACTGGCCCTGTGGTTCCATTTTTAATTTTTTAGGAACTTCCATTTTGTTTTCTTTAATGTTGGTGCTAATTACATTGCTACAAACAGTGGAAAAATGTGTTCTTTTCTCTGCATCCTCACCAGCATGTCATTTTTTTCTTTTTAATAATAGCCATTCTAGGGGTTCGCAGGTGGCCTGGCGGTTAAGGCGCTGGATTCCCAATGTGGCCAAGCATGGTTTGAGTCCTGGACCTAGTGGCTTGCTTTCTCCCTTCAAACCCCTCCACTTTTCTCTTTTCTCTGGTAAGCACATGTGTCCTATAGCAAGTTAAAAAAAAAAAAAGATAAATAAAATCAAGTAAATAAATAATTCTTTAAAAACTTAACAGACATTCTAACTGGGATGAGAGGGCATCTCATTGTGTTTTCTATTTGCATTTCCCTAATTATGCGGGGTACCAGGCCCTACAGCTCCTTGTACACATAGGAAGGCTCTCCAGAGGTGGACTTCTGGGCTGAAGGCGATGCTCATCTTCAACACTCACCAACTACTGCTCTGAGTTGTCAGACTTTGGCACTTTGGTTAATCTGATAAGTGCGAAATGGCATCTCTCCAAGTTCTAATATCATTTTCCCAATAACCAGGGAGACTTTCATTTCACTTGTCTATTGACCAATTAAGTTTTCTCCTAATTTTCTATTAGGTTGTCTTTCTCTTTTAATTTTCTTGTTTTTTAGAATTATTTTGTTAACTTTATTTATTTTAAAAAATTTGACCAGATAGAAAATGAGAGAGAGAGAGAGGAAGAGAGTGGACAAGTGAGAAAGCAAGCCGCCAGGTCCGGGACTTGAACCACATTGGCCATGTGGGAGTCCAGCGCACTTAACCACCATGCCACCTGCTGACCTCTCTCTTTTTATTTTGGGAGTTGTTTTATCCTTCATCAGTTCTAGAAACAAGTCCTTTGTTATATTCACTGCAAATATTTTCATCTAGTTTATTGCACATCTTTTTTTTTAATTACCAAGGGATATATAATTTTCTTATTTTTTAAAAATTAGGAATAAAGATGAACTGAGAGTGGTAAATATGTAAAAATCAAGTGTAGGATGGGAAACACAGTGTGTGGAAATCAAATAAGTTCAAGTTCAGGACCAGCAGATGGCATAATGATTATGTGGCTGGACTCCCACGTAGTCGACCACAGTTTGAGTCCCGGACACAGTGGCTTAAAACTCACGCCAGGTGCGTGTGCATGTGTGCCCACAATCCCGAGAAGAGAATGGAGGAGAAGGGATAACAGCATGGCCATCGTCTCTGAGGGATGATTCCTCGCTTTCTGTCTCTCTGCCTCTCTGGCCAGCACGTGTACCCTATAGCAAAAATCTGTCAACAAAATGAAAATAAAAAATAAGTTCCAGCTCATTGCGCTTACATCGTGGGAACAGAAAACAAGTCTTTGTGATCCCATCGGCTGTATCCCAGTGCCAGTTTTAGCACAATCAATATATCTTGGCTGATGATTGTAAGCGCACAGCTATCACACTACGCTATTTCCACCTTACACCAAGGTGTAGTTGCTGTTGTCGAGACTGACGGTACCCTGTTTCTGTCCAAATGACAGAGCACTAGGCGTTCTTTTGCACTTAATGACCATGGCCTTTTTTGCTCTCCTACTCATCAAGTGTGCATTTTTACAGATACCGAGACAACATACTGAAACTTCTGGTCCGGTGTATGCTGCGTTATCATCTCCAGCTTCTTCAGGTGCTCCTAAGCTGTCTATTAAGTCATCCAAAGCGGCATCCATGCCCGACTGGAAGAGAAAAACAGCAGATGTGCAAAGCAGGTTAAATAGATCTTTTTATTTAAGTCCCAGGGTACAGATTTCGGGTTGGAAAGGTAAAAAGCCGCAATCTGGTAAGAATCACAAGTTCAACAAGTCTGAAGGCATTAATTATACAAACGAGTGCATATGTTCATTAAAGCTGCCAGTTCAATATACTGACAGTTAAAAGCAAAACAAAACAAAACAAATACAAAAAATTAAGACCAACTTGCTATGAGCAATAGGAGAAATGTTTGCTATTATCAGTAGTTTTATACAAAAACTCCAACATAACCTCTATACAGCAGCACCACTTGAAAATAGAATTGATTTCAAAAATGAATTGCCCTATATCCTCCCTTTCATTCATACTCTTTTGTTCACTTGCTTGCTTGAAATGTTTACAAAACACGAATTCCCTGAAGGAGAAACTTACAAGAACTGACCATTTATTCTGACAATGCATGTATAAATAAGTATGACCAATGAGAGAGAGGATGCCTCTGTCTTCTTTGTGATGTTAAGAATGACTCTTTGTAAACAATAACCTGCAACTGAAGGGAAAATAGCAATCCAGGAAAGAATTATTTAACTCAGACTGAAAAGGAGAGTTTAAAAAGCTTCCTCCTCCTCCTTTTCCTAACTACCATATTCCCACAAGAATTTTAGGATTCGCGTAATTATAGACATGTGTTTGGAGCCCGTTATCTTTAGCCTCGTTCATCTGAGACTTTCAGAAGAAAGCAGCACTTGACATTCCTTAGGAATGCCTCTGGTTAAACAAGGTGCATTTGCAGGAGATAAGCTGGAATGTGACCCCTCTGAGATGGAACTGGAGTTTTTACCGTTGTAATACAAGATGTTACAATCGTACCTGTTAAACCCACACTCTCAACCCAGACAAATCGCCTTGAAACACTAGTTCATTGAAACGGTTCTTTAAGTTTGTCTTACCTCTCATATTATTTGCTCAAAAGAAAATAGATTACTTTAAGTACGGAGCATTCGGATAAGCATTTTATGGAGAAGTGCTGCTCTCTTCATACCTTTCCAGATGGTTTATCCGGTTTGGAGTCAGCAGGTGCAGCTGGAGCTACTGACTTCTTTTCTTTTTTCTGGTGGGAGTTTAGAAAGAAAAAGAAACACTGTCTTACTTGCCTTCATAATACATAATATCTTTTAATGAATTCATTATAATAATAATGCTTTTGATCATACAATCATATACTGATCATCTGCTCTACACCACACACAATGCTATATATATATATATAGAGAGAGAGAGAGAGACAGTGAGAGGGAAAGTGAGAAATCATTCTCCTCCAGGGGGAATGGCCACCCCACAATCCTTTCTCTATTCTCCTCCTGGGATTTTGGGCACACACATCTGGCACGAGTTTCAAGTCACCAGGTTCAGGATTTGAACCACGGTCTGCCGTGTGAGAGCCCAGGGCCTCAACTGCTAGGCCACCTGCTGGGTCTGTGATGCTATGTTTTATATCTCTTTTTTAAAGAACACTTTAACATTAACCTCATTTAATGAAGAGGAAAAGCAAGGCTCAGAGATGAAGTAAATTCTCACGTTAAGGGACAGCACCAAGGTAGAGCTAGAACCCGGATTTGACTCCATGTCTGTCTGTCTCTTTCTTCACTACTTTTCTCCAGGGCCTGCGGCCCGTCTTTGTGACACTCCTGGATTCCCGCTAGGTCGCCACTTCTGGCTGCTGTGCTCTGTCTGTGCCCACACATCATGACTCCCAGACACAGTGCTGCATCTCATCTCCCGCTCAATGTAATTTCTCTGACATGGTTTCCCTCTCACCATGACCTCATTTGCTCTATCCAAAGTTGCCATAACGTTCCCATCTGCAGTTTCTATCCAGACACCACCGTCTCTGTAGTCAGACCCTCACGAGCATCTCTCTCTGATTCTCATGCTTCCCAGCCGTCACCACAAAGCACCACTGTGATTCTCCTCTGGTATGGGCCCTTCCTTCTGTCACGTCCGGCATCTCTTCTCCATTTCTCCGCAGCTGAACAAGTGCCTGCTCTATGCTCGTAGCCCCATTCGAAATCACCTTGAAACACTAATTCATTGAAACGGTTCTAGGGTCAGGGGTCAGCACTTTCAGGGCTCGGCAGACGCTAAATGGGTTTAAGACGACTGGTGATCATGTCCCACTGAGAGGTATCCATCTCCCAGCAACCATGGACACAGGGAAGGGTGTGGCTCCGGGTACCCGAATGTGCACCGCAGAGGGGGCGTGCATGACTGCTAGAGACTCTGGCAGGTCCCTTCTCCTTCTGTACCTGTTTCCTCATGTGCAAAGCAGGGATAACGCCCTGACCTCGTTCAGGGATTATGAGGATGAGATACATTAATTACCATGTACAGTGTGTGTGACCCTGGCTAAACACTAGGTGAGCACTTGCTGTGTCACTGAGGGCTAAATATGTTACTGCTCTGATTGTGGTGCTGAAAATACTGTGCAGCGCAGGGTGTGCGCCAGGGCTGGACGGCTAAACCGCTTCCAGGGTTCACCTTCCACCTCAGGCACATACTCTCCCGGACCTTCCTCCTCCTCCCTCCTTTCTAAATCTTTTTCTCCCTCTTCCCTACCTTCCCTCCCCTCTTGTCTCTGCTTCTCTTCCTCCACCCTCCTCTCCCATCCTTTTCTACCCCCAAACCATATTTGGATGGCCTTGCTATGCGTCTTTCTTTGGACACTTCAAACTCTTAAATCCAGCCTGTCCAAAAGCGGACACATCAGTTTTCCTTCCCACATGGTTCATTTTCTGACCTTGTCCACCTGTCCAGGGTCAGCAGGACTCAGGGGTAGGACTGCAAGGTACCTGGCTCCCAATTCAAGGAGGCTCAATGCTGACAGTGCACACTGCTCAAACGGCATTCTGGGGGCCTCCAAGCCTTACCGTAGGGTTACCAACCCAGCTCCCTTAGACCCTGAAGCCCTAGGTTCTCTTAGATTTTACTTTTCCTTTGCCCAGTTTAGCCCAGTGGTTCCTAAACCCTGAAGATTTTATCTCTGCAAGGTCTCTTGCACAACACCCCATTTTCTTATGCTATCCCAGCTCTGTTCTAGGCTAGCTAAACTATGACTCACAAAGACTATGAAACCTTCCGACCAACCTTCCACCTGCTCACTCTACTCGTGTCACCCCACCCACTGTGGCTGTTCATTCTTCCGCAGCTTGATTTGAATGACATCAGTCCATCTGTCTCCTCTTCCCAAGGCCACCACTGTCAGCTCAACCACTGCATGCCTGAGTCACCACTGGTGGAAGTCAACCTCAGCATCCTCCACAGCAGCACTCAACTTGTCTTTCTGGCCTTACAGCGCACCACTCACCTCTGGGCTTCGCCCACACTGGAATGCACTTTGTGCCCAGAACACACATACTTTTCAATGCCTTGATGTATCTGCAAGCCGGCAATCCAGCTCTCCTTCCATGCCCAACTCAAATAGATCTACCCTCTCAAAGCTCTTGTGGAGTCCCCAGATCAGGCAGAATTCCCCTGTCCTTGTCAAACAACTCCCTGTGGGGCTCTCTCTTAATCTGTCTTGAACTGCAGTCCCACTTGCATCATCTTCTCCCTGTCCCTAGATGGGCCAGCCTGCAGCTGGTGTCTCTTACAGAGTCAGCCACAGAGCTTTAAACATACTGCGTACTAAAATAAGGCAGATCTGATCAATCCTATTCAATGGGAGACGAATCAGAGGCAAACAAAAGTGAAGACTTGCTGCAAGTTCTGGCACAAGTCAATACACAACAGATGTCACACAGGCCTCACCCAACTTTATTGTTTAGCGTTCACTGATAACACAGGCTAGTCTCTCTCTATTGGGCTGTTGGAAAAGTCATGACATAGTTTCTGTTTCTCTATGCAAAAATGCCTCTTGATTTTTCTGACAACTCAATAGCATACAATACTCCTTTTCCCCCCGCATTTTCATTTCCATCTTTTCATCATTGCTACAATTGTTTACTTGTATCTTCAGGCTCATTATATATCCTCCGAAGTGATACCAACTCTGTATTACTAGGAGTAAAAAGGTAGAGTACTTCTCCTCTCGTATTCTCCAGCTAGAATTGAAGGAGCTCTTCAAAGGATCTAAGCAAGGCTTGCCCATGGGTCGGAGCACAGCCCACACTCCTGAGAGGGCCTACAACGTCTCCTTTGCAAACCTCCCACATTAATTTGGGCTGATGTCTTTATTATGTCATTTACAAATATCAAGATAGCTGGTGTCAGTGGATGAAAGATGAGAATAATAATTATTTAAATTCTTGTGGAAATTTCATTTGCTTTGTTTCATACCTATAAGTCTGGAAGGCAAAATCTCAGTGAACTCCCATTTTAATTTCCTTAGTATCAATACCAGGCCTTATTATGTACAGTAGGTGCTCAGTGAGTATTTATTATAAATATGAATTTAAAACTAATTTTAGTATTTATTCACCATATGTCCTTTCACTGCATGCTCTTCTTTACAAAATTTCCCCTACAATGTTTAGTTTTACCAAACAGCAGGTTATCTCAGCCTACACATCTTATGAAATAAACCTGACGGGCAGAGAGGGCCCTGCTTTCATCTGCTTACATGAACTCACCTTGTCACCTGGTTTGTCAACTGTTGCAGCTACACCAGCAACGATGCTCTCTCCACCAGCAGAAACCTTGTCTTGCGACTTAGTCTACGGGTGGAGATAAAAGATCAACAGGACCAAGTGTCTCTGAATGACCATCATCAAGATCACAAGTTTCAATGTCGCCAACATCTGCCCATCTGCCCGCGTGGACCCCGTGGTAGAGGAATGCTCAGCAGTTGTTACTGCACGTGGTGCAGTCCTGACCATCATATAAAGTTGGAATCAAAAGCCTACAGAGCCAGGCAGGCAGCACAAAGGGGAGAATCAGGCTAGGCAGGGATGGTGTGAATGAGCACAGGTACCAGGTGCAACGGCTCCTGTCAGTCACTGCCATGTGAACTCATTGTTGCCAGATATTCTGACCTTTCAAGAGAAGCTGCAAATTAGAAGATTATGTGAAATATCCTGTTTATTATTTATTTATTTATTTATTTTGAGAGGTTTTTGCTATAGGGTGCGTGCACTCGTCAGGAAGACAGAGAGAGACAGAGAGATAGAAAGCAAGAAATCACCCCCCAGGGGGGATGGCCTCGCTGCAATCCCTTCTTCTCCATTCTCCTCTCGGGATCTTGGGCATGCACACACATGTGCCCAGTGTAAGTTTAAGCCACCGGGTCCGGGACTCGAACTGTGGTCGACTACATGGGAGTCCAGTGACATAGCCATTATGCTAACTGCTGGTCCCTGAGATATCCTTATTTTAATTACTGACAACTAGTTAGCTTCCTTGAGAGGCTGACACAAGAGGATCATGACCACAGAGACACTGTCTCAAGAACTAATACACACACACACATACACACACACATACACACACACACACACACACCCGCGTGCAAGCACATCCGATCCGCAATGACAATAACAACCAGTAGAGGTCTCAAGGTAATACAGAAAAGCCAGTTTGGATTAAAATACTTTTTAAAACACTGAAGGCCAGACAAAATACATATATGGCTGCATTTAACTGGTGGGTCAAAATTTATGATCTCTGGTCTGATAACACTGGGTCATTGGAAAAGTCATGATATATTTTTCTATGCAAAAATGCATCATGACTTTTCAGATGACCGAATATATTGTAAAGAGAGCCAGTAATTATTTTCTAAGTGCTCCCAATGAAAATGTTCTCCTAGATGTTTATTCTTTTAAAATTGGACTGCTACTAAGTAAGTAACTGCGGAGTTGATTTCTGATTCCTAACTAAGTTCATCTCTTCTACAGTGAGACTCTAAAAGTGCTTTAAAACTTCCATGTGAAGAAGCAGCTAAGGACACGTCTGTTCTCCTAGTTCCTATGTACAGAGGTCCAGCAGCCAGCCTTGATCCAAAGCTCTTGTCTGGGAGACAGCAGCACCTGCTGTCCTGAAGTCACGCTGGCCATTGGCGGGGACTAGGAGAAGGCAGGGCAGCCATTCCCCTAGACCCATCTGATGTCCTTCTCAGACTCCTCATGAGCCCAAGGCTACAAGGCTATATGCAAAACCATGAAAATGATCGCATCACATCACTGTAATTCAGAATCTATTCTTCACAGTCCCATAGCTTCAGCCATACACCTCCACGTGAGTAAGGGAATGGAATCTCATTACCTCGCCGACGTTAGTGTTTTGCTAGCTGTTAAGCATTTTTATATACCTTTGGTTCTGTTGGCTTCCCTGATGTTGGCTGCTCACTTGATCTGGAGACTGCTTTTTCCTTAGGAGCATGCTTGCTTCCTGTGTCTGGTACCTGCTTGGGTGAACTCTTTGGCTGAAAGTACACACACACAAAGATATTGTTAACGAGATGGTCGTTTTAAACATAACACTGACGCTTTCTTCTGTGGAGTAAATACTGTCCATCACAATTCTGCTGTTTGTGGTTTTGAATTATGTGGATTTAAATTAGGCTGCTATAAATGTGACGAAATTTTACTTTAGATACAGAGTTGGAAATACTCCAAGTCCTTTCCCCCCAGTTCAGCAAGAATCACATGAGCAAAGGGCAAATGCCACTACTGCCACCTGACGGCACCACGTGAGTCAAAAAGCAAACACCCAGCCATCCACTGTAGGGATTCGTTTTGGATGATAAAAGATTTTCATCAAACCTCGCCAAAAAGATGTAATCTTAATATTAAGTCCTAATGAAAATCATTTACCTCTGTATGTTCCTTTGGCTTTCCCTCCTGGGATATTTTCTCATGAACCGCAGATGGCTGTCAGTGTCAAAAAGAAATTTAAAATATTCAATTACATTGGAGTCCATTATCTTTGTACGTACAAACAGGTTCAAGAAACACAATCTTTTTTTTAAATTTTATTTCAACTTTATTTATTATTATTTTTATTTATTTATTTATTTTAAATTTGACCAGAGAACGAGAGAAAGTGAGAAAGCAAGCTGCCAGATCTGAGACTTAAACCATGGTCAGCAGTGTGAGAGTTCAGCATCTTTAACCACCTCACTACCTGCTGACCCCTCAAGAACACAACCCTCATGAAACCACTGCTTCTCTTTTGAAAAGTCCACTTAGGCCCACTGAAATCACAGAACAGTCGTGTGCTCGACAACTGCAGTCCTACCAGTAGTCTCCAATAATGGCAATTACCAGAAGAATGATAAATATTTTCGTATCATCTGGAATGTTTTCAAATACATATGTATCTTTGAATTATTGGCTGTTTTTCCAAATTGGCTCAGATAACCGGGGAACTGCAGGTCTATCTACAGAGACATCGAAGGATCACTGTGTTGATAGGGGATGCTGCTCTGCAAATTAAGTTTTCTTAAATCTTCTTTCGTAAGAGATGAAGAATACTTTCTTTTCTTCAATTTAAGATTTACAAAGTTGTTTCTTTGTTACAGTAGAGAAGATGGTATCACCAGACACCTAGTTCTCTTGAGACCTGGTAGACACCGAAAGCATTTAAATGTGGAAGAAGACAATTTCCACTGCAGCTAATTCTTGACTCTAGAGAACACGATGCAACTACCCCCCTCAGGGGCCACAAATCAGATAACCCACATCTCTCACTCAGGTCACCTCACCCTCATCTCATCTATGCAGACATGCTGGGTTCCACCTCCAGGTGAAGGTAGAACAGCTTGTGGTCTGAACTGCCATGAGTCAAGAAAGCAAGAGAAGCTCTTCCCCAGGGCGCTGCCTCCACAGTATCTGATAACTAGCGCCACCAGTCAGGTAAGACTACCAAGATAAACCCAGGTGACATCCTTGAAAACACCCCCATCCCTATGTTACTGAGGTTTTGGTTCCACAGAAACATTATTCTTTTTGTTTTTTGAGAGGTTTTTGTTATAGGGCATGTGCACTCACCAGAAAGACAGAGAGAGACAGAGAGACAAAAAGTGAGAAATCACCCCCCGGGGGAATGGTCACGCCGCAATTTTTTCTCCTCCATTTTCCTCTTGGGATCTCGGGCATGCATGCACACTTGCCCAGCGTGAGTTTAAGCCACCAGGTCCAGGACTCGAACCATGGTCAGCTACATGGGAGTTCGGTGACATAGTCATTATGCTAACTGCTGGTCCCCAGAAACATTGTTCTTGATGTTCCATTTATAAAGTCATTCAACTCTCACTATCCTTTGTCCTTTCTCCTGTGTTCCTCTTGCTTTTTTTCTTTGAAAAAAAGCCAATTATTTCACATACGACAAAAATCTAGATCTGAACAAAATATCACCTGAAATATATTGTTTTCATTTATAAAATATTACTTACCTTTTAAAACAATATATAGATGTTATAAATACTATAAATATAAATACATATATATATTTATTGGGTCGTCGGAAAAGTCATGACATATTTTTTTCTGTTTCACAAAGGTCATTTATTTATATGAAGAACAAAGATCAGTCAATGATTTATTGCTCAATTTTATTCAAAGACCTTTTGCCGTCTTTCAGTGAGCTTCCTAATTCTTCATTCTTAGGAGAACCTGCCTTTATCAGTGAGAAACTGAACAAGGAGATGAACTGAATGCTATACCACACAAATAGAGTTCCGAAGAGAGCGAAACAAGTGGAAGTTGATGGCACAGGGTTGGGTGAGTGTGGTGGGTGTGGCAACACCCATGCTTCATTGATTTTGGACGGGCAATCAAAGGTGTGTGGTCTCACACTGTTGTGACGAAACAGAACTCCTTTACAATCAATGAGCTCTGAACATTTCTGGATGATGGATTCTTTCAAATTGCCCAGTTGCTGACAGTACATATTTGAATTGATCGTTTCATTCCTTGGAAGGAGCTCGAAAAACATGACACCTGCAAAATTCCATCCCATCGAGAGCATAACCTTCCTCAGATGAGCATCTGCTTTCAATGTCGTTTGAGGTGAATCATCACGCTGGGACCAAGACGGTTTGCACACCACATTGTTGTAAACAATCCGCTTCTCATCACCAGTTATCAGTAACTTCAAAAAGGATCACTTTCCTAATGTTTAATGAGCATATTACAGAAGTTTATATGTGCCCTCAAATGAACTTCTTTGCGTTCATGAGGAACCCCAATATCGAGCTTCCTTACATATCCCAGATTCTTCGGGAGGTCGTGAACACTTGAATGATGGACGTTCAATATTTCTGTAATCTCTTGTGTCATGTAACGTAGGTTTGACTCAATCAATGTCTTTATTTTGTCATCATCAACCTCGGTGGTCCTCCCTGACTGAGGAATACTGTTGAGATCAAAATCCCCAGCACAGAATTTCGTGAACCATCGTTGGCACTGATGTTCTTGTAGGGCACTGTCGCTGTAGACTGTATGCAACTTTTCACAAGCTTAACACATGCTATTCCCTTTAGGGAAGTAAAACAGTAAAATACGGCAAAAATGCAGAGTTTGGTCTTCCATCTTCAATTGGTTGTAAAATCTCCTAAACTCAGCCAAATTACTTATTTTATTTTTTAGGATGAAGCTAGAACTGTCAGCTATCAAATTATATAGCAATAACGTGGATGCAAATGACTCTAGTACTTCCAAAAATGAATTAGTACCATCTGTTGCAAAAACACATCATGAATTTCTCATCAACCCAGTATAAAATACATATACATAAAATATATATTTACATACTGTTCTTTTCCCAACTACCCAATGTATTATATGCATACATATATCATATCATATATCTTCACATATTGGATATATTGGATTGTTGGGAAAGGCATGATGTGTTTTTCTATGCAGTAATGTGCCATGACTTTCCGGACAACACAATACATACACACAAACACATTCAAAAGGTAGTCCAAAAATTACATTAGCCCTGATGTTGGAAACTCCTTATTCATTATTTACAGGAATCCAAATAATTCATTAGTATACTTAAGTAATTTACCTTAGTTGATTGTGATTTCTTTTCAGGCTCTGTCTTTATAGCCTAAATTCAGGGGAGAGGGGGAGAAGGAAGGAGGGAGAGAGAAAGGAAAAGAAGAAAGGGGGGGAAATGGACATAATTTACAAAGATTATCATGTATTTTCTTCAACCAAACTAGATCAAGAGAGGTGATTTTGGCAAAATCATCTTACCATTACACATTGCTTAGAATTTTAACTCATGAGATAAATACTTTAGCACATTAACATTCTGCCGTTCTATTCCCATGGCAGTTCACATCTTACTTCCTGCTATGCATAGCAGAAATACGTAAAGACCGATCAGTATGACTACTGATACGTAAACAACATAAAGTAAAATACCTTCATCCTTCAAAGCCAAAGGTACTGGGTTTCAAAGCCACTAATGTGATCATCTTATCAGTGAAACACACACCACAGGTTTCAGCTGCAGTGAAACGATGGGATGGGGACAGAATGGAGGGCACAGAAAACAATGAAATGTGTTTTTAATGCCAGACTGTGACTGATCGTGGCTAAACCCACAGAAGGCTGATGATGATGAGATCAGGGTGATACAGGAGACCGTGAGCTGCAGGTGTGTTAGCACATGCTGAGCAACTGAGGGCCCAGGAATAAGCAGACACCCTGGTACAATGAACCACGTCACCTGCTTTCTGTGTTGTCTCTTGTTAGGAGGAGGTGGTCCTTCCATCTGCTTGCTGACTGTCATGGCCTAATGTAAGAGCACAGCCCCAAGTATAACTTTGTTTCATCTGACAGTCAAATGAGTAACAGGAATAAACAGGGCTAAAGTGTTAATACGGTGGTCTGTTCTACTCATCTACTGTACCTACTCAGTGTGTATGTAACAACCCCTAGAAGTTGTATGCACTTAAACGTAAAGGCACCAAGCAAAAATATTCAGTTTGGGTTTACCTTTTTCTTTCTTTTTAGGTTTTTGCCATAGGGCACATACATGTACTCACTGGAAAGAGACAAAGAAAGATAGAAAGAGGGAAAGTGAGAAATCACGCCACAGAGGGAATGACTATGTCACAATCCCTCCTCCTCCATTCTCTTGGGATTTTGAGCACATACGCATATGTGCCCAGCATGATTTTCAGGCTGCTGGGTCTGGGACTTGAACCATGGTCTGCCATGTAGAAAGCCCACGGCTTTAACTACCATGCCACCTGCTGGACCCAAGTTTACATTTTTCCAATGAAGATTATAATAAATAAAATGAATTTCTGTCCTTTCCCTTCCTTCCCTGTGTAAGCGCTATTTGAGCAGTGTTTTTACAGTAATTGATTGTGCTCAAATAAGTAGTCACAGGTGATGTCAAAAGTTTTCTGGGGGGAACCAGTAGTTAGCATAATGGCTATGTCGCTGGACTCCCATGTAATTGACTGTGGTTCGCATCCCGGACCCAGTGGCTTAAAACTCACACCGGGCGCGTGTGCGTGCGTGCCCAAGATCCTGAGAGGAGAATGGAGGAGAAGGGATTGCGGCATGACCATCCCCCCGGGGGGTGATTTCTCGCCTTCTGTCTCTATGTCTCTCTCTGTCTGTCTGGTGAGCGTTGGCGCCCTATAGCGAAAATCTCTCCAAAAGAAAAAAAAAGTTTTCTGGGGACTAGCAGTTAGCGTAATGGCTATGTCGCTGGACTCCCACGTAGTCGACCGCGGTTCGCGTCCTGGACCCGGTGGCTTAAACTCACGCTGGGCGCGTGTGCATGCGTGCCCAAGATCCTGAGAGGAGAATGGAAAAGAAGGGATTACGGCGTGGCCATCCCCCTCAGGGGGTGATTTCTCGCTTTCTGCCTCTCTGTCTGGCGAATACACATGCCCTATAGCAAAAACCTCTCCAAAAAAAAAAAAAAGTTTTCTGAAATTCTGTCACATAATCACAACTTTATAAATATTTAGTGTGCAAACTTTTTTTTTTGAGAGGTTTTTGCTATAGGACGTGTGCGCTCGCCAGACAGACAGAGAGAGACAGAGAGACATGGACACAGGTATTCTTGATGGAGGGAAGATATAAAATCAGAAATAAAATTTAAGAAAACATTTTGTAAACTTTTCAAAGTAAGAATATAAATTAAACATAATGTTTCCTGCCATTTGCTTCTCTTTTATCTGCTAAATGGTAAAAGCACAACTTCTATATTTTATTCAATTGTATGAATAGTCTAAAGTCAAATATCCTCTTATTTTCTCATGTCTTGTGCTTCTAATGAAGATACATACATTCTCTACATGATAATGGCCCCTTGTCCTGCCGACACACGGTTTTGGGAAGGAAGCAAAGTTTGTGATCAAATAAGGTATCTGAAGAAATTTTAGATTTTGAGTCCCTTTACACTGCATCTTTGCTAATGAGTTTATGTTTATGCTAGTATTTTTTAAAAATTTTAAAAAATTATTTTATTTAACTTTATTTACTTATGCATCCATTTTAATTTGATCAGAGAGGGGCAGAGAAAGAGAGAGAAAGTGAGAAAGTGGGAAAGCAAGCCACCAGGTCCGGGACTCGAACAACAGTCTGTGATGTGGGAGTCCAGCACCCTTAACCACTAGTACTCTTTTTTGAGTTTATGCAAATGTCATCTATTAAATGATTAAAAAAGAAAATAAACCAACTGATATCGTGGTGTTTTGAACCTAATGAGCAATACGGCAGTCAAGATGCTACATGGGGTAGCTCTCCAATTAAGAATGTGTGCTCAGAGACAAGCAGCGTATACCTCAATGTACGTTTAAATCAGCAATTGTTAAATTTATTTCTGCTAGTAGTGGCACTGAGTATGATGATGATGACAATAATAACTAATGCTTAGCAATGGCCTCGAGGTACTAGAGGCAGTTTAAAGCTCCACTTTAATCTGTCTTCACTAGAACCCTATGAGATAGGTATTATTACTATTAACCCCATTTTGCAGATGAGAAATTGAGGCTAAATAAGTTAAGTAACTTCCCAAGAACACCCATGTTGGAGCTGGGTGCCTTGTCACTGCGCTGCATTGTCTCGCCAGTTTGACTGACAGCTGGCTCCTACTGGGTGCCCGCCGTGGGACAGGCACTATATATTTGTTTGCTCAGACAGTCTTGTGAGCTAGGAACTAACATCACCTTCCTCCAAACTCTGCAGCTAAGGAAACCAAAGCAATGCAAAGAAGGACTGTCCCATAGCACAGCCAGTGTGGAACCAGGATTCCAGGCCAGGCTGTCTGGCTCCAGTGACCACGTTACAGTCTCTCAGGGGTTTCATCCCGATTAGAAAGGGTCTGACCTTCTGCATCCATACCCAGACGTGTGGCTATCAATGCTGATGTTCCAGGGGCAAGAAATACAGAACTTAGATCTAGATACATCAACCTCTTCAGAATCAGACTGACTTTTATTTAAAGGTGTCTTTTTCTAAAAGAGAGACAAATGCTCACCAAGCTCGTGAACATCTCCAAGAGGAGGTGAGAATAAACGTTATGAGCCATCAGAAGCACATGAAGATGATTAACGAGAACAGTGTGACTGACACACCAAGGAAAGAGAAGTAAGGTCTCAAGTGGCCCTGGGTCAGCCATTGGTGGTGCTCTATCAAGCGCAGCTTATTTCTGCCTGTCTCTTTCTTCTCTGTCCTCTT